CGATTGTCTCATGATCGGTCGGAGTTGAGAAATAACTCTACGCGATTTGGCGTTCTGAAATATTTGAGTAGCTCACAGTTTGTTTATTGTGCATTCTTTTCAAGCCATGTGCACAGATTTTCAATCAACCAGTCTCTTCTGTGATGATGACCTAAATTTTCGGTTGTCCCAACGCTTCCAACCATGTCTCGGACAACTCGGATTCCGGATTTGAAGGAAGCAAAAGGCCGAAATCAATCGGTTGGAAGTACGTCAGCTGGTGACTGAAATATAAGTGAGAAACATAAATTACTAAAGCTCCTGTCCCGATAAAAAAAACTGCAAAAACATCGCGCCAAATCATTTTTTATAGTTACAACTCCGTCAAAAATGATAATTGAAACTTGGAAAATATTTCAATGATCTCGGATAAATTGATATCCTGTGATGAACAACTTTTAGTAATTCAATTAAACTTGTTCTGAAATAACTTCGCTCAGTTATTTTTTTCCGCCCATTCGTGCGAATTTCAAATGTTTAGTCTGTTCATCGTTTTGTTGCTTGAAAGCGCCGAACTTCTTTTTTTCGCGCAGATTTCACGGTATAATTTTAGCTGTACAGGAAATTCAGCAGTGCTCAAAATATTTTCATGAGTAATTCTCACGCGTTGGGAACGTGTATCATTTTAATGACAAATTATATTCGGATTAATTTCTCGTGCACAGCACTCAAATTTGATCACGATGCATCAAAACAATATTGGAAATACTCCGCTTATTTCCGGCTGAAATTTTGGGGAAGAGCATCTATCACATAGATCGTTATTTGTGTGGAACTGCAATAATTGGAAGTATATTACATACATGCAGGTAAGAATATTTTTTACTCCTGTTAAGGTTCAATTCGATTTGGACTTTTAATTACTGTACACCAGTTTTGAAGACAGGGGTTCGCATTTTCCGGTGGGGTCTTTTTACGGGGTCTTTTTCGCGGCACGTTGACTGTCTGATAAATAGCGAGATGAGTCTAGCTTTGCAAGACAGTGCACAGTAATTATAACTGTTGCTGACGGACAAGACTTACAAGTCTGGAGCAGGCAGTTCACCAGTAGGCACAGGAAACAGGCTCTGGTAGTCCCTTTTCAGCGGGTTCGAGGCATTGTTGTGAATGGCGTAGGCATTCCACCTTTCCACCTTGGGAGGAAAATAGCCCACGGGGATTTTCGCAGTCGCAGTCCAAGTGCCTCCGATTTCCTGCGACGTGACGCTGTACTCCATTGGCAACTCTTGCGCGATCGCGTTTCTCTCTCCGTTCAGCAGAAGTATCAGATGATGTCCCAGTCTATTGGATAATTATTTATATGTAGTACTTTTTCTCGTCGGCCATTTACATTCATTGAATTTCAGGTGGTTTTCAAAATAAACAAGATTTCAATATACTCACGGGCCGACCTCGATCTCTATATATTTGTTATCCGGTGCCAGAAAGAAGGCTTCCACAACTGAAAAAATATTTTTCAAGCATTAAATTTCGACATTACTTCTTCCTGAAATCGCAGCATGCGTTCATTGCCCGGAGCCAGACTCAACAGCTTGGATATAATACAGAAACTTCTGTACGAAGTTGAAATTCGTCAAACGCACAATAACTTGATTCAGGCGACAGCTATCTCAAAGAACAATCACAATGCGTCTCATCGTTGAGGGAAAAAGCCTGTTCCAACTCTCCATATGGAAACGCACACTATCTCATGGACCGATTCGAAACTCAACGGTCGACATACGAAACTTTGGGAGGTGGTCTTGCTTGGCTCGGTTTTCCGCGGTCTCTGAAATTCCAAGTCCAATTTTAGCACGTTATTCGTACCGTTTACGTAAATTCAAATATTAACAGCAAACGAAAATCATGAAATCGGGGACGTATTTAGCAATAAAAAAATTATAATCTAACGCACTTTCAATTCCGTTGTCCTCGTGTCCTCGAAGGCCCGTACTTATTTCCTGGAATACAAAGTAGGTGTCGCCGGAATCACAAAGCTGATCCGATCCGATTAACACGGGTAGAAGTCCTAGAACATAGACGGTCCTATTGACCTGATCTGAGCTAATGTACCTTCTGCTGAACTTGGCGAATTCAAAGATATAAAAATCTCTTGTTTGTTCCCTTCCCCACATCAGATGTCAATGAAGTAAACCAAGGGCTCCCGTGGACGAAGACCGCGCGTATTGACGCAAGGAAAAGAGTTGGTACCCTGTCGGCACATATTTTCGGCGAGTGCTCAAAGGCTTAAAAAACAAAAACTAGATGTCGCTTCTTTCAATCCACTATAACACATAACAATTCACCTAGTTGTTTCTTCGGACTTGTCTCTTATTATGAAAATAACCAGCTGAAGCAATATTTAGACCCAACAACAAAGCAATGACAGCTGACCTTCATAGTCCCAAAGACCGAAACAAGGACCAGGTTCCGCACAAGGTGGAGCGACGTCGTTGAAGAAAGGAGCTTCAACTCTGAGCTCCAAGTGATCTTCTTTCCCGGTCAGCGTTAGAGACACAGGGTTGTGCTGCACCGGAACACTGTCCCACATGGTAGTGATTTGGAATTCCATCGTCACTTCGTCCTGCAAGAGCTGTGCTGGCGGCGTCGTAGCGGCACCACGGCTCAAACTGAAGCAGCTAGCGAGCACCAGCAGTAGTGTTGCCAGCAGCAACGACGCCCTNCGATTGTCTCATGATCGGTCGGAGTTGAGAAATAACTCTACGCGATTTGGCGTTCTGAAATATTTGAGTAGCTCACAGTTTGTTTATTGTGCATTCTTTTCAAGCCATGTGCACAGATTTTCAATCAGCCAGTCTCTTCTGTGATGATGACCTAAATTTTCGGTTGTCCCAACGCTTCCAACCATGTCTCGGACAACTCGGATTCCGGATTTGAAGGAAGCAAAAGTCCAAAATCAATCGGTTGGAAGTACGTCAGCTGGTGACTGAAATATAAGTAAGAAACATAAATTACTAAAGCTCCTGTCCCGATAAAAAAAAACTGCAAAAACATCGCGCCAAATCATTTTTTATAGTTACAACTGCGTCAAAAATGATAATTAAATATTAGAAAATATTTCAATGATCTCGGATAAATTGATATCCTGTGATGAACAACTTTTAGTAATTCAATTAAACTTGTTCTGAAATAACTTCGCTCAGTTATTTTTTTCCGCCCATTCGTGCGAATTTCAAATGTTTAGTCTGTTCGTCGTTTTGTTGCTTGAAAGCGCCGAACTTCTTTTTTTCGCGCAGATTTCACGGTATAATTTTAGCTGTACAGGAAATTCAGCAGTGCTCAAAATATTTTCATGAGTAATTCTCACGCGTTGGGAACGTGTATCATTTTAATGACAAATTATATTCGGATTAATTTCTCGTGCACAGCACTCAAATTTGATCACGATGCATCAAAACAATATTGGAAATACTCCGCTTATTTCCGGCTGAAATTTTGGGGAAGAGCATCTATCACATAGATCGTTATTT